AAACTGTTAAACTATTAAAAGCTTCGAAGCTATTGTAAAAAAAATATAAACTGTTAAAAGCTGTTAAAGCTATTAATTATTTATAGCCGTTAATAACTGTTAAAAGCCATTAGCTATTAAAACTGTTAATGCTATTAAAAAGCTTCAAAACTATTTTAAAAAAAAAAATAAACTGTTAAAAGCCGTTAAGCTGTTAACCTTAAAAGCCGTTAAGCTGTTAACTTTAAAAGCCGTTAAGCTATTAATCTTAAAAGCTGTTAAACTATTAGCCGTTAAAAGCCGTTAAGCTGTTAGCTGTTAAAAACTGTTAAGCTGTTAGCCGTTAAAAGCCGTTAAGCTGTTAGCCGTTAAAAGCCGTTAAGCTGTTAAGCTGTAAGCTATTAAAAAACCGTTATCACATGATAACATCTGCTACCCCTGCATAATTACCCCTACATATTTACTCCTGCATAATCACCCCTTGCATAATTGCCTCTGCATATTATCAATATCATGTAACATATTAAGTTAAACTCGGAACTGGCTTCTAAGTCAGTTTACTCAACTTTTAAGCTGAGTTAAGCAGACTTGAACTTTTAACACCTCTACTAATTTTTGAGATATAAGCAATTTTTGGCAAACCAAAAACGTTATATCTAATTTTAAAATCTGATTCATAGTACAGAAGAGCTGCACCATCAATCTTGTATGCTGTATATGTCAAATTTGATGACGCATCTAATTAACACACCTAATTTGATCTTATATTAAAGTTATTGTAATCTTCATTGCAGATCACATAATTTTTAGCATCATCTGATTTTAGAATCAGCCCTCACAATTATTATATTTAATACTTCTAATACTTCTAACTTATTTCATTTACAGATTTATTTAACTCTTTATAAAACTATTAAAGGGTTAGAATAGACTAAATTGCTTGAATCTAAGAAACTTTGGGAGGATCACTTTCAACTGTTTCGATAGATATCACAAGATTATAGTATGTATTGTAATATTGCAACTTTTCAACTTAAAATGCTAATTTATTTTCTTACTTAACAGACCATCAAATAAAAGTAAAAGATTTGTTGAATGCAATTAATACTCTTAAGTCTTTAGTAAAAATCCTGGTTATAGATATTTTATAACATATTACTGCAAGTTTTTCGTACTTGAGTTGCTATAGAAGAGAAATATTGATAATACAAAATATACAAAGACTTTTAGAGAAATTAAGAAAAAACAATTTGAATATTTTGTTGAAAGATCAAAAGGTTTTACTTCTTAGCCCAAGATCTCTTTCTAATAAACCAAAATATAAAGTTATAGAAGTTTGAAACCACCTTCTTTTAACTTATTTAATTAGTAAGTTTGCTGAACTAAAAGTGTAAAATTAATCTAGATGATATAAAAGATATTCATCACATCTTTTTAAGAGATATGCCAATTGAGAAATTTGAATAAGAAGATGAGATTAATTATGCAAAAGAGTTTTAGAAAATAGAAGTAATAGCAAATCACGCACATTTGACTATTTATCTAGTAAGTTTAAGTTTATTATTCATTGTCTGCTAGATCCTTTTATCAAGGTTCTTATTTTACAACTCTTTGTAGTATCTACAAGAAGTGCTTGTATTAATGAAAAAAATTATAAAATTTCATAATAAGTCTATAAAAAATTTAAGTTTTCATACTGCAAACTTTCATAAAACAAAAAAAAGTATTCTAATATCAGAGTAATGAGAATTTAGTACAAATAATATTTATAAAAATACTTCTTGTAAAAAAATTGTGTTAAATACTCTACAAATCACTACTGACAAAAAAAAAAACTTTTCTGTAAAGGAAAAAATTTTTTTATTATATAGTTAAAGTTAGTCTCTTTGGCTTATCGCTTTTATTAGATATTAGAATCATGTAGTGCCCTTTTCAAAGGGGCACCAGACAAGTACATTCTGACAAAGATACATTCTAGCCATATCTGCACCTTTTGAGTGCCTAATTAAGTAATCTACCTATATACTAGGTGCTATACTAGATGCCATATCTGTAACCCACTATTACTTGAATTACCCAATTAAATCCTCTAATCTGAGTTTCCTATATCAATCCATCTAATCTCACCCAGAACATGCGATATATAAGTTAGTCCAAGTTCTAAGATCTTTGTATCCACCTATAGGACTATCGGCATGGTTAACCAATTCATCCTCGAGTACATCACCTGCTAGAGCAGTCCTGTACCCACTATTCCCATATTACTTAGTCTTCTTCGGTAACTTATGCCAAGTCCAAGGACAAGTACTTGCGAGCTAAGGCTGCTACAATTACTTACTACTGCCTTTATAGAGTTCACCCAAACCCTGGTATACTTACAGACATTTCTCAGTCATCTCAGCTATCCAAACTACCAATCCAGATGGTCCGGAAGGGCTATGGCCTGCTCTTAGTCTCTACAATTGGGTCTTTTTCCTCTGGTTACTCCTCCGGCAGCCTGGTTAGTAGAGTGCCTTGCCGAACACTTCAGTCCCGTTCAGTTTATCCAGTTCCCCAGGTATTAATCTGCATGTAGTACCATCGAAGATCTGTACTACCTCTCTATTCAGGACTTCTCAAGCGAGCACCCTACCGCTGTATTGGCCCTGTAGCTTTCTGTGATTCTGAAAAACTTATCTTGGGTTTGCATCAGTGTCTAAAATTCAATTTTTAATTTAGTTGCGGAAAGCAACTAAATAAAAAAGTTTACTTGTAGATTATATGGATTTAGTTGCACATATAAATATATTTATATGCAAATTCGAACATATCTATATACAAATTCACAAAATTTAGTTGCGGAACCAGAATATACATTTCAGATTTTAGTTGCAGAAACTTATAAATCATTTGCAGTCTGCAAGCTCCGCAACCCAATTTCAGACACTGGTTTGCACTAACTAAACTGGCTTGCATGCCTTTGTGTAACTTTTTTATTACACAAATGCATCAGAACCTTCCAAGTTTTATCTTGGTACAACCACAGTTACAGGGTCTCGAGTTTTCTCAGCCACGACGATAGTTGCCGAATCCGTTTTTCTAAATTCAATTTTTCACCTTCTGTGGGAATTGAACTTATACTCTACCACTTGGGGGTGTGACAACTTCACTACTTCACTAAGTCGCCACACCTTCGTAAAGGAAAAAATTATAGTAATGAAAAAAAAATTATACAGTATGGGACAGTAAAAGACATCCAATCTATACATAAGAGCGCCAATTTTTGATGCTTACAAATCAATTCTGATTGGCTAATTTTTGTGTAATTGATTCTGATTGGTTAAAAATATATATATGTTTTCTTTTTTTTTATATTAAATGCTAATTTTTTGAATTTATATAAACTTTAATCCTTTATAACTTTTTAAAACAAAGAATAAAAAAAATCCTCTAACAGAAATGTAGTTTATCTAAAAATCTATCAATTTGTCAGAGGTTTTTTAATTTAGCTTGTCATAAAAAAGTTATAACACTTTAAAGTTTTTATTAATAAACATTGGATGCATTTTACTGTTTAGTACTATATTAATATAGAAACAATTTGATTGGCTATTGGAAGTGTGGCGCAGTTATATAACTTTACATGACTTCAGATGATAAAAGATTACACAAAAGAGTCCTTTGGGTTATACAAATATATTACACAAGAAAGTAATACAAGTTCATCTTCTTTCTTCATATAAACATCTTCTTTCTCTACACAAGCCTCTAATTCTCTTATATAAACTCTAAATGTTTTAAATACAAAATATTGTCATCTAGTTTCTACTTACAAACATAAACATAATGAGTAATGTTTATATTCACCTACTTCACCCAGCACAATCACCTTCTTCACTCAATACAATCCTCTACTTCCTCCACACAAATTTCTCTTCTTCATCTGCTCAGTGTTACTCATTTACTGTATATTATATATTCTTTCTATGTGTAAAAAGATATATAAAGGGTGTCTTTTCCTCTCTTTGCCAATTCTATAAGTTTCTATACTTCATCTAAACTCTGTTTTCTTTATACTCTTCTTGTAAATATGATATTCTCCCTCTAGAGTAATTCCTACAGGCAAGGTTTATCCTGTTTCTTGCATGAAATAAAGTTATTCTATATACTGTTACTATCTCAAACTATTTGCCTCCTGTTGTGTAGTTAAGTGAACAACTATGCATTCACCCTGTGTATATTTACAGAAGTCAATCACTGCACTGAATAACCTTGTTACTTGGTTGTATTTTACTAAAAAGGCTACAACCCTGTAACACTGTGATTGGGTCCTTTTCCTTTGGTTACTCATCCAATAGTCTGGTTAGTGAAGTGCCTTGCCAAGCACTTCAGTTTCTTTACATAGTACTATCAAAGATCTGTACTACTTCTCTATTCAGGTCTTGCTAAACAAGCTTTCATATTTCAAACTGTTGGTTTTACTTGGTAGCTTCACTTGGGTTTCATATAACTTATATGTCACACTAACATTCTACTGCCTTTCAGTACAAGCTGGTGTGACTTTGTTACAGATGCTGACCCAATAAAATATAGTCTTCCAAATATATTCTGTAAATTTGAATTTTTATCACCAGTGGGATTTAAACTCTTGTCCTGCCACTTGGAAGTATAACAACTTACCAACTTTACTAAGTTATTACACCCTTATTACTTCATATTTACTATTAAAGATTATATATATAATTTATTATCCGAAGTGTAGCAAGGACTTATATTACATATAAAAGTTGAAATATGTCTGTCTGTCTAGCACGTGACTTGTTGGTGATTGGCTGCTATGGTTCACACTAAATCTTAGATTTGAAAAATATCTGTCTGTCTGGCATGTGACTTGTTGGTAATTGGCTATTACGTTTCACACTAGACCTTTGATTTGAAAAATGTCTGTCTGTCCAGTATATGACTTGTTGGTAATTGGCTATTATGTTATACACTAGACCTTTAATTTGAAAAATATCCATCTGTCCTGTTTATGACTTGTTGGTAATTGGCTATTACAGTCCACACTAGACCTTTGATTTGAAAAATATCTGTCTGTTCAACACGTAACTTGTGATGATTGGTTGTTAAGGTCCACACTACAGCACTAGACCTTTGATTTGAAAAATGTCTGTCTGTCCGCTATGTGACTATACTGTAATTGGCCATTATAGATTATACTAGACTTCTGATTAAAAAAAGTCCTATATGATATTATTTATATACATTAAAAAAATAATATATATATATTGTAAAACTCTAGTTAGTTTATTTAACTAATTATTAAAA